AAAAAAAAAAAAATGAAATAAAATCTAACAAAACGAGGTGGGAAACGAAAACGTGAAACATAAAATGTGCTAGAGCTCAGAGACAAACGTGTGAACGGAAACGGGAACGAGAAAAGAAGAAGTCTACGCTAGTTAGACGGAGAGCGTCGCAGACATAAACAAGTATTACAAATACACACAAGGATGTTCAAACTTGACTGTAGCCTGTGAGCTGACGAAGACCTGGTTAAAGAGTAAGAAAAGTAGAGCTATAATGTAAATAAGACAAGAACGGGTCCTTGATGAGGAAGAGAGCAAAAATTAAAAAAACAAAATGAAACAAAATCTAACAAAACGAGGTGGGAAACGAAAACGTGAAACATAAAAGGTGCTAGAACTCAGAGACAAACGTGTGAACGGAAACGAGAACGAGAAAAGAAGAAGTCTACGCTAGTTAGACGGAGAGCGTCGCAGACATAAACAAGTTTTACAACTGACTACATTTCGTAGAGTACTGCTCGCTAGTTTAGTGTTAAAAAAAGTGTAAAGAAATTGTCTTAACGAGTTGCACTGCTAAACCAAAACAACACAACAAAGAGGTTCTCTTGACAATTTACCTCTGACAAGTATCTAGGAGAAAATCTAGATTGTTCTCCGGTAAAGGTCATTTCGATTAGGTACACGACTGCACCACTCGTGTTGCGCACAGGATCCCACTTCAGTGAGATTGAGGTGAAATTCCTGCTTGTTACTATTGGTATGCTAGGTTTTGGTGGAAAGGAACCATCCCCAGCCAGTATGGAGGAAAAGTTCTGTAACTGCGCCAAAAACTCGCAGCTTTTCAAACAGCTGCTTGCGTTATTCTGAAAGATAAAAACAGTTCCAGTCTTCATAAATGGACGGTTTAAGAAAATATTCCACAATACACAATACAATACAAGTTTATTGTTACAATTGTATTGTGTTATACGCTCAGCTATTCAGGTGTAACCACAAATAGGACTGTAGCATATAGGAGCTTATTTGACGGACCTATTTTTTTTCCGTAACTGGTTTAAAACTTTTAAACTCAGTTTAACTAAAACTATTTAGCTGATGTGAATGAATTATGACAGAAACAAATGAAGTCCTTTCCGTAATAATGGAGAGAGCTGTCAACACGAGCTAAGGACATCAACCGCTTCACTTGGCTTCACCTATGGCGCATTTCGTTGCTGTTGTTGTCGTTCTCGTCACTTCATTTGAAATTTTTGCATATGGGAACACATGCTCAGCTGAATTACGTTTGCAGTACTTTTTAATCATTTTTGTGTCATATCTTAATCACTCTTAGGAACAGGATAAGCAAAGGTATAACTCTATTATATCTTAAGGGATATCCTCTTTTACGAGTTCATAATTAAGAAGACGGTCGTTTGGGCATAGACACAGTGGCAGATATTTACGCTTGAAACAAGCCTCCGTAGGAGAACAGATGGCGGCTGTACATTTTAAAACACAGTACCTTACACAGTACCTAACACAGCCCAATAAAGACAAAGAAAGCCATATTTTTGCAATATGTGTCCTTGCGCTAAAGAAATAGACCATATTCGTATTCTCGGTATTGGACTGGAACTAGCTTGCAATGGAGGCTCATGCGGGAGAATATCATCAAAAAGAGATTAATGTCATTTGCATTTGAAAAGACTCCCTGCATTAGCCTCAGTTGCAAGCTAGTTCCAGTCCAATACCGAGAATATGAATATCGCCTATTGTGTATGCTAGGTTGGAAGATGTTGGAACTTTTCACTTTTCTGTTCGTTTCTGTGAGAGTTGTTAAGGTTTTTGTGCGCTAAGAGCTATAGGTAAATGTGCTAGTCGCCATCTTTTTTTCCTATGCAGAATTTAAAATGTACTTACACAACTTCGCTTGCACGTATCTTCGTCAGAGAAGGAAACTCCACATGGAATAAGGCACTGTGAAAATAGGTATCAGTATCGATTTAACAAATTGACGTCAGTTTTTTATGCGTCTGTCCTCTTATTGATGATAAATTGCGTCATAACATTGTCAAAGTGACTGTGACAATGTTATGGCGAAATTTATCATCAATGAGAGGACAGATGCATAAAAAGCTGACGTCAATTTGTTTTTTACAATAACAAGACCCCAAAATGAACAGTGAATTTTATTCAAAATGACGCCAACATTGTCAATGGCTTTACTCGCTTTTTGATTGGCTACGTAGTCCATAGCTTGACAGCTGAAAGTTGAACTTGAAAGCTTGCATAAATTAAAATTTTATCCGTCTGTACACTTATTGATGATAAAAATGAACCAATTAGCGCAAGAAATTAGACAGTTATTGTAAAAATCACAACGTATGTAATTTCAAAGGTCTGTTTAATTTTAAAGTAGGTGTTCCATTTTAAGGACACCCACTCACCTCTTTGCAGGTTGACGTCTGGCAAGTCTTCTCTGTTTCATTGGCAGGTGTGTTCTGGCAAAATGTCAAACAATTCAAATTAATTAACAGATTACATCCAATCAATGGCAAATGATCTATGTTACGTTTTGAAATTACAACAGGGTAGATATATCTAGGATTTCGTAATCGCAATGCGAGGTTCATTCACATTTTGATTTTTGGATTAAGGCAATCTGGAACAAGTTATAAATACACCATGTGCACTCGTTCTGTACTCGAAATCTCTAATTTTTGAAGCGTTTCGCAAGGTTTGGGTATAGCTAAGGGGTTGGGAAGTTTTCGAGAGAGACTGTAAACAGCGGTTGCGGTTACTATTTAACATTGATCCAACGTTACTTAATTAATATTGTTTACACTTCTTGGCGTTATTAGTTTCTGAAGAAACTGTTGTGTTTCATTGGTGAATGATTCCAATTGTCGCAGTTAACGTGATCGATTGAAGGGAAAAGAGAGGCCGCCAATAAACAGCTAATTGAGATTGTACAGCTAATGGAAAATGAACTGTTGGTCCGCTGAAAGGACAGTTACTTGCCGTCTTTAAAGTCCCACTTTCCGGAGCAATCACAAAAGCGTTGCTGTTATAAACGATTGCATTCTTTCATCTTATCATCCACATATTTTAGAGTTGCCTTTATTAAAATTTAGTGGAGTGCTTCTATTTCTAAATTATTTTCCAAAGGTTTAGTTGCAATACACCGCTGCCAAAACAGCTTTCGCGTAATTAAACACTTCATGAATAAGTAAATTGTGTGTTTGTATATTGTAAGTGTACTTTAATTTAGGCAATTCAATTTAAAAAAAAAAAACTTTTTTCAGTCTCTGTAGAATCGGTCGATATTGCTGTTTGGAGCATACACCATTATCACCAAATAAAAAAACTAAGTTTAAAATCAGACAAAGAAACATCAGCTCTTTTTAACGTTAATGCCACTATAAAATGTATATTAAAGACAAAAGAAAACGAATTGTAAGCGCTTTTTTTCAGTCTGTTTCTGGGTCCGTTGAGGTATCCTCGCCAATCCAGTAGCAAAGACTGAGGTATGTGGTATAATTTCCTCGTGGAATGTCCTGCGCCCTGGTGCCCGCCTCAAGAGGGGAACTGTATTTCACATAAGTTCTCGTTACTAATCGATAACCCTCACTTACGAGAAAAGTACTAGCTAACTACTCGGCAATGCCAACCAAGTTAAAAAGGCTGCTATGTCGGTTTCATTGCGAATGCTTCCATTCTGCAAGAAAAATTCTTAGTGCTATACGGGTTTGGTACATGAACGTGAAACTGACAGATACAGACGACTTTTTGCTGCCTTCAAGCAGAAAGCTGCAACTTGGTCGTTCGTAAATGCTTCTTCAGTGGCTACTAACAGGCTGGCTGACAGATGAATGATTCCAAAAGCAATTTGAGTCAGTTTCATCCCGCAGTTTTTAGATTATTCGCTTTCGATTTCCGTGAGATGACAGCTGATAAGGCTGGAGACCGAAAGGCGAATTATCTGTCATCTGTCACCTGTCAGTTGTCATTTCTCCTAGTAGAGTTCTGAGTAAATTTCCTTCAAACAATGATTTTAGTCATTTCTTAACCTATGAGTGGTATTTGAAACGCGCGCTCATCTGTTCATCCAGCAATTTTGAGGTTTGCAAGTCGCTTCACGCTTAATGACATTCTATTCTTTTTGGGGGACTTAAGTATTCCAATATAATTTCTAAATATTCCTTCGAAGCTTTGTAGAAACGAGAAAACGACGCCATTTCGTAGACAACCCTTAGCCAATGTAACCTGGAGGCTGATGCTGTAGTGACGCAAGTATATGTATAACGTTCTTAACCGAAAAAAAAAACGAACAGTATTGCTAGAGTAGGATCAATCCTTTCACTTTAAATTTAACAAAAATTGTATTAGGTTGCGTGGCGAAGTCAAAATATGTTTAATGAGAGACATTGTTTGTTGAAATACTACTCTTTAGAATTTTTTTAGCTGTTGTCTTTCCTTCCGTTATTCTTAACCAGTTCCTCTCGGGCGAGTTCTCGTGATGATTCGCTCTTAGTTTCAACCATGTACATGAAATGAAAATACCAGTGCATAACTTTTTGAGGGAATATACGTTGCGCTCACTACCCAACCGCATAAGCTGTAAGGTAACTATAGAAACTCTTTAGCTTCGGAAATAGTTAAATATATTAAATCAAGGATGAATGTAAAATGAATCACAACAAAACATACTGTTTTGTATGAAATCCTTCTACATTTGGCTTACACGTTTTGTCAAATGAATGAAGTCTATCATGTTTCAAATTAACAAATAAAAATCATAGCCCTTCGCTATATAATGTAGTCTGGTTACGTTTAAAACGTACAACGATTCAGGGGATAGAAAATTCCGCTGTAATTTTATTTATGTATGCTGTTTGTCCCAAGGAAATTTCCATCATCAAAATAACTCAAACGAAATTAAAATTGTTCCGAATTTGGGAAAATTGCAATTATTTTTTTTAACAAATAGCAGGTGTTACAGTAAGCGAGAAACCAACCCGAACGTTTACTTTTGTGGCAAACTCATTAAGTGACATCCTAAAACTTAATTTNATTATTTTTTTTAACAAATAGCAGGTGTTACAGTAAGCGAGAAACCAACCCGAACGTTTACTTTTGTGGCAAACTCATTAAGTGACATCCTAAAACTTAATTTCATTTTGACCCATTTATCGTAGATTATCATGTGAAAATTACCCAGTTGGTCGTTCGTGAACTCTTGTATTTAAGCAATCGGTGTCTAAAATTTAGTTATTAATCCATTTATTTATTCAAGCTGCAGAAGCTAACCACCTTGTTCAAACGAAATGTACCGTATTTGTAATAGAGCGGCGTAACTTAAGGCGATTCTTGCCAAAAATGCAAATATTCGTTAAGCCCAATAAATGATTTCAATAAAACTACCCAAAATTAAAGAACTTAGATAGATTTTTTTTTAAATGAATGTAGGAGAGTTAAAAACGATTTCATTTCAAAATTTGTCATGAAAGTATTCAAGTAAATGAAAACTGACTTTGCCATTAATGCTTAATTCAGCAAATTTTACAAGAAGGTCGTATTTTCTTTGACTTTTCAGTTCGTACACGCAAAAAAAATGTACGTAAACTGCTTCTATTGAGTGATAATCATTTCTTGATATCCGCTTCTTGATTTATAAGAATGAAGCGCTGCAATTACACCACGTTAAACACAATGCTTAATCCGGCTTTCAATAAACGTAAGTAATTATCGTTAATTTGACACCTAAAGAAAATTAAAACAAGGACTTTTTTTCCGGCAGAAATAAACGAGACCTGTCGTAGCTTGGACTCATGTTTCAGCGGAAAGAAGAAAAAGATATTGCAAATTCGTGGTCACTGTGAATTTCATCAGCCAATACTAATCTTTAAAAGCACAATACCAATATTAATCATAAACGTTTCAGCCAAATTCTAGAATGATTGAGTTTTAAATGAAATGGTAACATCAAATCCATTTTCATTTCAACTCAGAAGATTTAATTCACAAACGTTTAGTTCATCAAGAGAGGAAAATATGTTCCCGGGTGTTATTCTGCCAGTATACGTCATATGTTGCGGATACCGCATATTTGCACGGCTTATTTGATCATCTAGCCGGGTGAAAACTTGCTGAGGAAATAAGACTTGGTTTGGTAGCTTAAACATGACTGTTGTATATCCATACGATCTAGTTTTTGTTGCATGAGTTTGAAAAGACTTGAGATCATACGGTAGTCTGTAATCTGTAGCATTCATTTATCAGAGTTATCAATAATATGGGACCTTTCGAAAGTCGCCTATGAATTAAAAACAATTAAGAAATTTTGAGAAGCTTTAGAAAATTCTCCATCTGAAACTTGAATATTCAAGAAATGTTTGTTGCTTGATTAGAATTTGAAGACTGATTTAGACTTATAAGTTAGTAAGAGTACGTTACGACTTCTTGAGAAAGTATATTGAGAGGTAAGTTTACCTGAGTGAGGCAGTTTGCGTAACATCGAGCCTTTGTGACAACTGAATCGCTTGGAACTCCTTTGACATTATTGAAGAGAGTGAAAATCCATAGAATCAGCAAAAATGGGCTGCAGATTCGCCTGTACTGCTGCCAAGCCATCGCCAGCGACCCAATGTCCGGTGCAGTCTACACTGGACACAATCCAATATATTGCAGTTTAACTGCAGTTCGGTCTCTGTAAAAGAAACGTCAAGTTTGAATATTGTGGCAAACATGTTGACCTACAATGCTAATTGACACTTCCGCTAAACGGGTTCTGTTTGGCTGACGAGCTGACACGAGGTAATGTCATTAAATCAAGAATTTGTGGACTACCTTTTTACATGATTTTCTTAGTTTTTTAAACACAAACTCACTGAATTCAGCAGATAATTTCTTAAGTCTAACTATTACATTCTAATCAATCGAAAGTGGCCCTGTCAGTAGAGCATTTTTTTTAAATTCGTTTATTTCTTGTTGTTCCGTCGTCAGTAGGTAGTTTCAGCGGGGGAGCTTTAAAATCCTTTGTTTTAATGTCTGCATGGTATTGAAAAATATATTAGGAACAAACATGGAATATGACTTAACACCTTTACGACCATAAACACATATTTACAAGAAAACGATTTAATTAAATTTAAAGGACCTTTTTTTTCAAAAACCTTTCTGCTATGGAAAACTCGCCTTCAACGCTTTATCTTCGAAATCAGTTTTCAAAGATTTAGTCTTAAAATGCTGTTTCATGATATGTGGAAGTTTTTCACCATTTTTGTCAACAATTAAAAAATGTCTGTTAGCTACTCTCCAATGGAGTTACTAAATTTGTAGATTTTATTTCCTTTTTATCCAGTTTTAAGGGACCAGCAAAGAATTGTAGCCAATATAACGATCATAATTCAGCTTATCCCCGTTTTCCTTTATTGATTTAACATGATCAGTTTAAATTACCGTGACAGAACGAACCCCACGAACTGCCGGAGAAATTGAGTTTTATTGACAATTAAAAGAGACAAAAGAAATTTAATTGTTTCCATTGCTTATATTGGACTCCTGTCAAAAATAATGTTACTTTACAGAATATATTATCTCTACTAATTAAAGTTAAAAAATCAAACCAACGAAAAATATTGCTGCTGCGTAAAATGTGGTTTCGTAATCGACATCTGCTTTTATTTTGACCCAAAATAATTTTGTGATAGTTCAAGTGTAACTATTTTCAACACTAAGTGTTTC